GCATGCATCAGAGCTCGCCCAGGTCATGCCCTGCAACTGCTGTCCCCCGTCCCAACCCCATCCGTCCACCTCGTGGTTGCCCCTGTGGCACTCTGCATGGGGCCAAGCTCTGCCTGCTCCCATGCAGGACAGCCCATGCTGAACACCGAGCCCCGGCCTTGGCCCCAAGCAGCACACAGCTTCCCAGGGGGGCTGCTCCCAGTGCTGCTGCAGCTGCCTGGGTATTGCTCAGCTATCCCTGCCTCCAGCGGCTCCTCCTCCTCCTCCTGCCCCTGCTATACCGCTCTGGGCAGCAGGTAGTGCTGGAAAGTGATGGTGGTGGCCATGGGGACGCGTGCAAGCAATCACACACCCAGCCAGCTGGGGGCAGAGGGGGACAGGGGGAAGCTGTAGTCATGCACATCCTGCCCCAGCACACATTCCCAGCTCCTGCCCCAGCGCACATCCCAACAGCCACTGCCACAGCTTCCCAGTGCTACTTGCTGCCTGGAGCGGAGTAGTAGGGGCAGGAGGAGGAGGAGCCACTAGAGGCGAGGGAAGCCTAGCAGGACCCAGGCGGTTGCAGCCGCACTGGGAGCAGCCACACCAGGAAGCTGTAAACAGTGGCCAAGGCCATCGGGGGGCACAAGCGGGACTGTAGTGTGGACTGCCCTGGGCTGGATACAATCAATTGGTGGGCACCCACCCACAGGCCAGATACAATCAGTTGGCGGGCCAAATCCAGTCCATGGGCCATATTTTGCCCACCCCTGGTCTATCCCCATTATCACCAGCTTCCTCCGGCTGTTCAATCAGTGCTCATTTTGTCCCCAACAGGCCAGGTAAGCCCCGTGTCACCCCTGAAGGACCTGACCAAGGCAGTGCACAAGCAGCAGAAGGCACTGGAGGCACACCTGGAGGCCTGCCTGCAGGAGCTGAGAAAACTCTGCCTGCGTGAGGCGGTAAGGGACCCTCATCACTGGTGGAATCACACGGGCTTCTTGGAGATGACTTGGCTATGGCTAGGTGTAGAGAAACTAGGAGCTCTGCTGAAAATCACTTTGCCTGGCCATGAGAGATGCAAGGTTGGGGATGGGCATTTCTAGCCAGACCCAAGTCGCATGTTCCCCCTGCCCACTGACTGCAGCCTTTCCTCGGGAGCCCCAGTGGCTGGAGTCAGGTCCAGCAGGAGGACTGTAGGGTTAAACACGGGGTGGAATATCACAGACAGGGTGGCGAGTGCTCGGCAGGTTGTGCATGAGGGACCGACTGCCAGTGCTATGTCACCACTGGCTGGAATCACCTTCTTGTTGAGAAGCTTCTCCATTCATCCTAAGGAAAGGGATACCCATGGTGTAACTCCTACATTCACTAGAAGATGCCTGTGCCACCCTCACTGCCCTTTCCCCACACAGGAGCTAACTGGGATGCTGCCACAGGAGTACCCTCTGAAACCAGGAGAAAAGCCCCCGAAGGTGCGTCAGAGGATTGGCACTGCCTTCAAACTGGATGAGAAGACCATTGTCTCACAAGGAGCAGTAAGGGCCTGACTTATAGTACAAAGAGATCCTCTCTCTCAGTTGGTGTTTGGTGCAGGGGGGATGCAGGTAGACCAACACTGCAGGGCAGGCCGCCTAAAATAAGTGTGGAGGTTCTTAAAATTCATATGACAGTCACCAGTCCTATTACTGATCCTAGTTAGTGGGCACCAGTCCAGAGCTGGCAGGTTCACAGCACAAGAACCGCCACTTGTACCATTGTTGGTTTCTTTAGCATAAAGGCTAAAGAGGCACTGGATCCATAGGGCAGAGACCATTGCAGGCCAGGGTGAAGCACCACAAAGATGGAAACAAATTTCCCTGGTCTTGTCCATCTTGTACCTGTTGTATGAAGGGAGAACAGGGATGTCCAGGGTTGCCTACCCCATCAGCACGAAGAAAAGAGATTTATGGCTTTAGCTTTGGCTAGGTTCAGAGAAGCTGTAGGAGCTCTCCTGGAAATCGGGTTTCTTGGCCGTGGGAGATAAAAGGTTGTGGAGGAGCACTGCCATAGTCTGTCCCACCCAACTCTGTCCATCTGTCCGTAGCCATTTCTGAAGGAAGCAAGCCCAGCACTGAGAGCTAGCTCCAGGTAAAAGGAGAGAAGAATAGCCCTGCTAAAGGGTCTTCTTGGGTGCATCTACCATGCAATTAGCATACAAAAATAAATGCTGGCACAGTTCATGTTGGAGTTAATGACTCCCGGGCACAGTGTCTATACATATGCCCAGGACCACAACAGTTTGAGCTGGGGTGGAGCAGCCCCAGGCTGGCAGCAGGCTCGGGGGGTCGTTCCCATCTCCAGGTTGTGGTGTCAGGTGACAGATGGGGATGACTGAGGCATGAGAGTGCCCAAAGAGTAGAGCTTTGTAGCTAGGCCCTGGCCGGCTGTTGCCTGAGCTGACCAGGTGCAATTTAGGCCCAGGTCAGCATTTACACTTGTGCTTCAGTGAAGTTATTTTTGCTGTCATGAGACAGTACTTGTCCCCGACAGTACTGTCTTATGGTGGTGAAACTTAGTTTGCTGCACTCCTATAGCATCGCACATGTAGAATGTGACAATTTACACCGCAGCAAATTAGTCTACTGAGCCGTTAAGCACACATGTAGATGCATCCCTTAATGCTTGGTTTATAGAAGGGCTCATTAACATGCAATGTTCTCCACCTCTTTATATCTTCTGAAGCTCATTTACCCAACCATCCCAGCTGAGATGGCATGCCTGACCCCAGTAGCAGTTAGCTTAAGGCATGGTGCTGAGGATGGTACTGTTTATTCTCTCCGTGGGTAGTGCAGGGTTGAGGCATAGGTGAGGATTGTATTTGCAGCTGATCTGAGACCTTGCTTGATCCCTGCACTGCCAGCATACCCAATCTTTATCTATGTGGTACCTTAGTAGAAGTCCCTTCACTTTCTGTTGTGGGCAGGGGAGGGTATTTCCTTCACAATCCCTCTACCTGGGAAACCCCATATTGTAGCCATCGTCTGGTCAGCGCTAGGGGCCTAGACCAAACTGTCTCCAGAGCTGGACTCAGGTTCTGAAGCTGCCTGCTTCCCAGGCTAGATTATGCTGCATATGTAGCACCTCTACCTCTGCCAGGCTCAGGAGATAAGAGAGCAGGGCTAGGAAACAAATCGTCCTCTCCTGTGCAGCTGCCATGCAAAGCCACAATCACTGTGAGTAGTCAGGATCTATATTCTGTGGGTCCATCTCAAATACCAATAATGCTGATGCTTCCATTGATAGCATGTGGCATGCACGTATTCTGAGCGGTCCAGTGTGCCCCTATTCCTGGACCCTTGTTCGCAATGTCAAGGACAGTTTGCAATCTGGTTCCAGTAGCTCACAGATAATTCCTAGATGTGAAAGCCACCGCAAACCACTAGAGAAGAAGGATGGTCTAGTGTTAGAGCACCAGACTATGCTGAGGGGTCCTGAGTCCAATCCCTGCTCTGCCACAGACTTCCTGGGTGACCCTGAAAAATACCACAGAGTATCTGAGCCTAGCTGACTTGAGGACCTGGTTGTCAAGGGATGACCAGGATGTGGGTGGTCACCTGGAGCTTGATACTAAGTTCTGCAAGCCAGGGAGCCTGGAGCAGGCACGGTCAAGAGCTAAAAGCAGGGGTCTGGATTGCAGCCACAAGCCGGGGGGTCAGGAGCCAGTAGTCAGGAAGCAGGGACGCAGGCTGGAGCTAGGGATTAGGACCTTGGAACCAGTGGACGAGAACCTGGAACAAGGGTTCAAACCAGGCCAGGAGCCAAGCAAAGAAGCATCTGTCCTGTTGAGTAGTCTACTGAGTACTGAAAGGGCAGATGCTTATAAGCAGGCAGGCACACTCATGCAGGTAATCCAGGCTAGCTGGGGGTTAATTAGCCTGCCTGCTGCCCTGACATTAACAACTCCCTTTTGGAAGGGAGGATGTATAGGAGCATCCAAATCAGTGGGAGTTAGGTGGCAAATCCCATTTGAGGAGCTTGCCCTTTGCCTCTCTAGGTTTGATCTCCCTTTTTGTACAACAGAGGTCAGGGCACTGCTCTGCCTCCCAGGAAGCACCACCACGATAGGGGCAAGAGAGGCTCCTCTGATACATCATGGCGATCTTCAGTCAGCCTTGCAGAGGGAAGGAATTATTTTTTCCCCTATTACATTGGTACTTAATTCAGACCTGTGCTCCAAGACCTCATCTGGGTCTTCCAGTTTGGGGGAATTCTCTTTCCCTTTGTGTGCCTAAATAGTAGTTTCCATGCATGGGAGTAGTATTTTTGGTTCTTACACACTTGTTGCAATTCAGTTCCCCCTACACTGTGGACACGTAAGCATACACATGTAGACTGACCATGTGCGGGGCCCAAATATGAGCATGTGCACTCAGGTCATGAAAATGTAACTGCCCCATTGGGAGCAAGGGTCTAACCTAGATCCCAGGATTTCCCCCATCTAGGGGACCAGGCATCTTACTGAGCCACATCCCTTCTAGCTTGCTCTCCTGATCCAGCAACCACATATCACCCTCTCTTAGCTGTTCAGGGAGCCAGCTTCAGAAAGGGCACAGCAGAAGGTCCTGGACAATGCCCAACCTCTGGTGTGGTGGTGTAACAAGCTGTTATTGCAATGGTGTTGGGACATTGGGGTGCCCCTCAGCCTCAGGCCTTGGTCCACTGTTCTTCTGCTTGTTGAGTGAAGACAGAGTAGGTTTCACCCTTGAGATAACTCCTTATTCCAGCAAACCTCCATCTTATCTGCCCCAGGCCAGATCTTGCAGCTCCAGCAGAGGAAGTTTGCCAGCTTTGGGGGCTTATGCCCTATGGTTTGAAAAATATGGTAGGTCCTCACTCCTGTAGGAGTGAAATGCCTGTAGCTGTAATTGCTCTGAAACCACACCTACTGTAGACAATTAGTAAGGTGTGTAAAACAGCAAAAAAGATTTATTGCACAAGCGACATAAATCATACAAACAAGTTTAACTGGAAGTTGGGAAAACAGAATGCCAGAAATGAACAAAAAGATTACCTTGCTCTGCTTTTTTCTTACTAGAAAGCAATCCTTTTCCTCTGCCCAAGGAACAGTTGTCCTGTCCTTCTTATGCCAACTCCTTTGATTTTCTTCTGTAACTAAACCAGATTATGGAGCTGTGCTTCATTCTCCTGCTGCTGAGTGTGGTCTTTTCCCCTACCCCTTGTTCTAGGCTGCAGAGCTCTTGTGGTCGCCCAGCAGTCTGGGGGCAGAGATGCTCCTGAGCTTCCAGCTGTTGCTCCTTAGAGATCACTCCAGGCATCGCTACTTCAAGATCATCCCTGACCAATGCGTGTTTAAACTGTTCTTGAAAACCTCCGATGATGGACAGTCCACAGCTTCCCTAGTCAGTCTATGCCACTGCCTCACTATTCTAACCATGAAGAAGTTTGTCCTGCTATCCAGTTGAAACACATTTTGCTGCAGCCTCTCGCTGTTTGGTCCACAGCCTGCTCTCTGCAGGAGAAAAGGTGTTTTCCCTCCTCCATATAGCAGTCCTGGGGGCTGGAGTCGCCCAGGCGCTAAGGCACACAGTTGTATAGCCTAGAGAGGTTGCAAGTTTGACGCCATAGCAGAAGTGCTCATGGCGTGACCCTGTCAGATTGCAATGAATCTGCAAATTCTACTAAATACCATGTCACAAGGACGTGAAAAAGAAATGAAAGAATAACAGGCCTTTAGATGTTTGAAGGCAGCCGTTATGTCCCTTCCTAATTACCTTTTCTGCAAGATGAACATATCTACTTCTTTCAACCTTTCCTCATGTGACTTGTTTTCGAAACCCTTAATCACTTTTATTGCCTGCCTCTGGGCCCTCTCTAACTTAACACTGAAAGTTATATCACCTTTCTGGCTGATTGAGATGTATAGCGATCTCAGATGTAAACTCTCAGAGATTCATTTCCCTTCTGCAAGCCAGGGTTCCTCTATTGTCTGGTCTGGAGATATTCTTGATGCTTGCTTTAGCAACCACTTCATTGAACGATTCAAGTCATATCTTAAATATAGAAAATAGAGTCACATCAAATAGCATAGTTCATACAAACATACACATGATAACCCTGAACATAGTTTAGCACTAGCTGTAAATAGAGAAAAATAGAAATTCCCAAATAGAGTATGGGAAAATATCTAGGCATGACACAAGCTGAAGCCCCAACGTCAGTCCTGTATTTGAATGGATCTTTGAGAGGTGGTTAGAGCACTGTGCTGCAAAACTGAAAGATGGTTAAAAAATTTCTGGATAAGGGAGGGGGAGATGTGGAGGGAGTCACGGTCCCCAGCTTCCTGGGCAAGTGCCCAAACCACTTGTATATTAATGCTAAAAGATAGGAGGCCGTCCCTGTCTTTCCTGGAGGTATGCATGTAAGTGGCATGTCTATGTCTGGCCAGGATGTTGTCTTCTGCACATGCTCATGTGTCCACAGTGCAGGGTGCGCTTAACTGCCAAAAAAAATACCACTTCTGCAGACAGAAAACTCACACTGAGGTGCACAAAAGGAAATAGGTTTGTAATTACCAGATGTTATTGCCCCTTCACTCTGGATTGTGTTTAACCCGGGTACAGATGATCACTGGAAATGACCTCTCCTCTTTTGAATTGCAGGGGCATGGAAGGCAAGTGGATCATCTTCATAGCCTTTGAAATCATAGAAAGCCCAGCTGGGTGGCAGTGGTATAAATGGGGTAGAAGTGAGGTGCAAGGTTATAAATGGGGTAGAAGTGAGGTGCAGCAAGCTGGCTTTAGAAGAGCTCAGCTGGCTATCCCACCAGGACACTAGAATTCAGGGGTATTGAAACCTAGCTGGTTCCTGTTCTATCCCAATTGGCTGCACACTGTAAAAATGAGTCGTTTTCTCTTGGCCTTGAGCATTTTGGGGTGGAGGGTAAATTTGCAGGCTCTGTTCCATGGATTGTATCTCCCCTCACTCTGCACAGGACCCTCTGAGCAGGCTGGAGAGAGACCTGTCTCTGCAGATGCAAATTGTGCAGGCTGCTCATCACCTCTTCAGGGAGGAGAACATTAGCAAGCAAATCAAGAAGCGGAGGAAGAGTGCTGTGCTGAAGGAGGAGAGGAAGATGAAAGAGCTGGAGAATGCCCTCAGTGAATGCCGTCTAATGGCCGGACAGAAGCCCATGCCCAAGGCCAGCACCACAACCGCTGAGGGTGAGCCATGTGCATCTGCAGCTCTCAGCATACTGCTCAATCAAAACCTTCTCAGCTTTAGAGAGTGGACATGGAAGCCATTTGGGCAGCTCCATATGGTTAGCCAGAGATCAGCTCCTGTTTGACTTTCCTAGCAGCCAAAGAGCAGCTTGGTCCTATGTCTAGCCGTGCCACTGGCCAGGCTATCCTGGGAGCGGCACTGAGTGCCTCCACCTGCTGTAGGGTTTGTCCTGCCCACCCCCCCAGGACAAGCAGAGCCCTTTGGTAAGCAGAATGTGTCCCATAGCTGCAGCCTGCCCCAGTGGGCAAGAGATGACACCTGTAACTCCATAACAGCATGCACTAAGCTGTGCAGGGAATGTACTTCGGCTTGCAGGGGTTGACCAATGGATGAGCCCTCCCAAGGTCAATCTGCAGCTCCCCGCTACATGGACTTCCATGTTGCCTTACACATCTTGCCCCTGGCTTGGTCACACTGCCCATGGACAGTCATACATACCAGGTTTGGAAGGGCTTAGCAGTAGATACGAGGAAGGGAAGCACTGATTATCTGGTCCCTGCAATGTGGGGATTCCTCCAGGACTCCTGAAGTTAAGATGTCCTGAGCATTCAATCTTACAACCTTTATATTAGCTGGCCACAAAATAGCTACCAGTTATAAGGCTTTCCCCCAGTTTGTGGCAGCACATTCTAGAATTAAACTATTCTAGCTAAAAGGCAAAGGCCTTGGGGTGAGTGAGTGGGGAAATGGGCCATCAAGCTTTCCCTATAACTAATGGAGATGCTCCCTACAGTGTCCTTAGCTGGGAATTCAGGTTTCATCTTGTTAATTCTGTTACCCATCCCACTTTTTCTTGAGGGTGAACACGCTCTCCTCCAACTTCATGTTACCGCCTAGAGTTTCTTTTCTCCAAAACTTATGGTTTCTCCTCTAGGACTGCCATAGCCTGTCTGTCTCCATGAAAATTTCCCTTGTGTTACCCCAGTGAAGGGCTGTGGTCAAGGCCAAAGACAGCAGTGTGCTTAATTAATTAATTAATAATATTTTATATTTTTACTGGGCCTCAAACCTCTTTGCATACATTAATCCAGGGGTTCTCAACCGGGGATACTTGGAAAGGTGCTAGGGGGTACATGTGGGCAGGCAGGGATGGAGCACCACCACCCACCACACCACCGCCTCCCAGGGGGCAAGGGCAGTGGCTCCTGTCTGCATGCCACACAAGCACCGCCCAGCTGGCTGGACATGGGGAGTGGGGAGCTTGCATGTGGCAACAGCCACCATCATTCACCACCCCGCATCACCACGTGCAAGCCCCACCCCTGCTCTGCATCCAGCTGCTGCCACCAGAAGGGGTATACTCCATAAAAGAGGTTGAAAACCCCTGCATTAATTGGTTAAACTTCACAACAGCCCTGAGAGGCAGCTAGCTATATGGCTGAGATTTATGTGGCTGAGAGGTATATACAGATATTTTGAAGCATGTCTGAAATGCAGCCTCCTCTTGGGTAAGGGACAGAATGCAACAACGAATAACCAGCAACAAAGAATAGTCTCCAAGTGAAACCAAAGAGTCTGGGATGGGTTGGAAGGATGGAGTTTACACTGGAATTTGGTCTGTGATGCAAATGAAAAGGAATTTTTGTATCTACTCATCTTGCTCACAGTTTTGCGGTGTCCTCTCTGCCAGACAGCTGGGCAGATCAGAGGCAGCTGCAATTGCACAGACTCATCTCAAAGGAGAGAAGGGGAATGCTAGATGTCATGACCCTCTTACCATCACGTCCCCTTAGATCGGTCAGCCAGAGTGCCTGCAGGGAATGGATAAGGAGAGAAAGCGCTGCTAGGGAGAGGACAGTTCTGTCTAGGCTCTCTGGTCTGGCATTTTCCAGGGGGCATTCTGAATAAATGCTTGGAGGTGGGGCTGAGCTTCCCCCATCATGAAGAATGCAAGCTGTGGGCAGCTGAAGTTGAAAGTGTATAAGAGATACCTCTTCTTCATAAATTTTCTCACCATGTCTCGCCTCTTCCTCTTGGGGACATGCAGCCACTTCCTTTCTAGCACATGAGAAACTTTGGGAGAAATGTTTCAAATACACCTGAGGGGCTTAGGAGTACATGCAGCATGGGTGACTGGTGCCTCCCAAGTCTGGGGGGGCACCAGATCACCAGTGGGGTGGAGGGGGTCCCTCAGCGGCTGATCACCAAGCCAGCAGCGAAACCAGAAGTGCACTTCTGGTTTTGCAGCTGGCACTTCCAGGGGTTGCACAGCCGATCTCAGGGGATGCACATGCACCCGCTACATGTCACCAATGCGTGCATGCATGTAGTTTTGATGCTCAGGGGGTTCTACACTCCTAAACTCAGAGTCCTTATCCAGATCTCTTCTCCAGAACAGTCTTTTCCCCTTCTCTCATCTGTGTTGCTTCCCCTATTTTTTCTATCTAGAGCTGAGCATATCAGATGATCGCTCCTTGTTGGACACCAACCTGCAGGAAGAAGGTAAGGCATTGACTTGATGCTGTAGCCAGTGAGAGCCACTAAATCAGTGGGGGCTGAATGGGTAGAGCAAAGCATGGCATGCTCCTGAGATGCTGCATGGGTGGTGTGTGGCCTAAATCTGAGTTGTCTGCTTCATGCCCACTGGAAGCCCTGATCTGAGTGCTATTTGATTTGAGCAGAACCGTGCAAGTACAACTACAGGGGTGAACTTCCGGGCCATAACAGGACTGGAGCTCAGACCTGCAAGGAGGGGGCATGTTTTACTATACAGTTTTCACTGTCTTGGCCCATGATGGCATATCATATCATTCCCTTTCAGAGTACTGCCACGCTCCAAATCATCAGGCTGTCCCAGAACTCCTGGTGCCAGTTGAACCAGGCACCCCCAACGGCACCCTGGCTCTGCCCTCCTGTTTGGCCCATCCCAAGAAACACAAGGGGCCACAGCCCACGTGCTGTGAAATAGCAGGGCTGGAACGCACGCCTATCCAGAACAGCCCGTGGAAAGAGACCAGCCTTGATAAGCCATATGAGAAGCCCAAGAAGCCATCTTTGGAGTCTAGCAATGTATCAAGGTATCGGTCGTATGTGATACCACCCCTCTCACCCCTATCTCTACTTTGGGGATCCTGCCATCCAGTCTGTGTTTGGATCTGGAGGATAAGACTGGGAACATACCTGTGTAAAGGAAAGAAACAGTTTGGCTTCCTAAGGTGGAGAGTTAAAAAAACCAGGTGGTCAGTGTGGTCCCATAGGCAGCACCATTCCCTCTGAGCTGAGCTAGCGTTAGGGTGGCCCCTGTGCACCTGTCAGCCAAGTTCAGGAACTGAGGTCGTGGAGATTTACGCTGAGAGCACTCATTCTGAGAGCATTGTCTTTATACCTCGTATCCTGGCCAGATTCCAGCTAATCGTGGTGTTTTTGCTTGGTTGTGGTGCTCTTCATTCCTTGTACTAAAATGTTGTGTTCTGTGCTGCTGCTTTCCATGGGTGCACAGACAGGTATTTGGCCTTCTCTCGCACATCTCCTGATGAAGGTACTGTCTTCTTTACACTGGTCTTATTCAGTTTCAGTTGCTTTATAAACCCATGCTAAGCAGGAGTTTCTATGAACACCTTACTGGGCTGAACATCTTTTCCATTTTCTCTTCCTTTCCTTTCTTTGCCTTTCCTTCCTTTTATTTCTTATAGGGAGTGTGATGTCCTTGGGTGGAGCACTGGTGCTAGGAACTGAACCTTTGATTTCTGAATCTAAAAAGCACATGCCTATATTGCCAGGCCTAAAGGAGCCAGCTGTTTTAACCTGAAGGCTGTAGCATTCCTAAGGCTCTGCGAGTCTGACCTTTGTGGACAGCCAGAAAGTCTGTCTACACTGCAGCCACTGCCTCATCCATAGAAGCACTAGGTTCTGGTTAGATGAGGACAGAGTCCTACCTCTCAGCTCTCACATACCCAACCTCATACAGAGTGACTCTGGATCTGAGGCCCAGCACGGGTTCACTGCCCAAGTATTTACCTGGCTTCTCAGATTAGTTTTGGTTGCTTGCATTGAGCGCCACGCTTCCTCAGCTACACCGCCGGTCTTAGATATGATAAAGCTGGCTTGGGGATGTCTGCACTTACTGCAGTGACATCATACCCAGAGCCACACTGCTTGAGAATGGGTTAATGACAGAAGGGGACAGGGGCTCTGTCCTCGTCTAACTGGAATTCAGTCCCACTCTGTTACCAGGCGAGGAATCATGCCAGTATTGGGAGACGCTGGCTGTCAGCTGTCCCACATCTGTCTCTGCTTGCTGTGTTTCTCCCCTGCATCCTAGCTTTTATGCTGTTCCCAGTCCGTGTGCCCAGCCGTGCAATTCAAAGGATGTCCAAAATGCCCCTATACTCTTTGTCCCCAGGTATGCACAGGTCTGGGTCCAGGACGCTGGCAGGCAGGAGGGGGTAGTCCCAGTTCATAAAGTGATGCATAGAGACAGGATTGGCATCGGGCAGAACTGAGCTAGGTAGACAGGGAATCAGATAACTAGGCCTGTCCAGAGCAAAAGAAATCAGTGGGATCTAGTGGGTTCAGCACTGGACTTGGAATCAGCCAGCCAGAATTCTGTTCCCAGCCCTGGCACTGGCATGCTGGGTGACCTTAGCCAAATCACTTCCCATCCTTCTGCACCAGTTTTCACTAGGGGTGCACAGATAAGGATTTTCTTGGCCAATATCGATAGCCAATGATTAACCAACCGATTATATCGGCCGATGCTGATCTAATAACCGATATTTAGTAATAGTGCAAGGCATTTTAAACTATTAATATGAATAAACCTTTTTTTTGGTTTGTTTTGCATTTATAACACACACACATCTACGTACTCTGGCCCTCGATGAGGATGGCAGTGATTGCCTTATTCTCACGCACGTCACCCCTTCGCCCATGGCTTCTACCCTCTCCCCATGCAGCCCGTGCTGCCATCCTGGGCAAGCAGGGCAGACATTTGGGCGAACAGCAGCACTGGGCACATTTAGAGCCCCAGAGCATGCTGCTGCCTCAACACTAGTGGCCCTGTGCAGCACAGCTCCTGCGGCTGTGGGGAAGAAGCCCCTTTTGCAAAAGCACCCAGTGGTGTGGGATGCCCCTCGCGTGGCACATTACCCTTCCTGCACACAGCCCAGCATCTCCACAGCAGTCCCAGCACTCAGACCCTGGCCAAGGCAGCTGCAGCAGCAGCAGGAGGCAGCAATGGTCCCTTTGTTGCTGAGTGCGGTGCCCTGTGACTGCTCCCAGGTGCCCCCTCCTGCTGCTCCCTGGGACCTGCTCACTGTAGTTTGCCTTGGGCTCAGACCAGCAGTGGGATCTGGGGACTAGACTTCACTCACTAGAGTGCTTTGGGCACATGGCCTTAATTATTACCCACAATGATCAAAAAAAAAGCCAATAGCTAATAACGTGGTTTCTCTTTTTATTGGTGCTGGTCCAATAGCCAACTGATATAAGGGTGCACCCTAGTTTTTGCCCCTCCACCTCTCACTTCTGTGTGCAGACTGTGAGCTCTCAGGGGCAGCAGGTCTATCCAGCACCCAGTACAATGCAGCCCTGATTCTGGTTGCCAGCCTTGGTTTCTACTTTAATAGGAATAAAGGCTTGTCTACACAGGAACACTCAGAGAACTTAATATGAATGAACTACAAGTGTGACTTCTAGTAGATAAATAATTAGTGAAGTAAACTAAATCAAATTAAATCCACTCTAATACTGAATGGCAGTGTCTTTGGGCATCTATGCATGTACTCTTGCAGGGGGGAGAGGGTTTTTTTTAATTAGAGCGGCTCTAATTAAAGCACTCACAGCATCGCATGTATTCAGTGTTCCATGCTTCAAAATGGTGGTGGGTGCACTTGAACTAGAGCCTGTTGGATGAGCTTTAGTTAAAGTGCCCCTGCCACTATTTTGAAGCTCAGGAATGCTGAATAGATGTGATGTGGAGGCTGCTGGAGCACGTTAATTAGCACGCTCCGGCAGACTCAATTAGTCATACCAGAGCAGACATGTGGCACATGTGTAGGTTCCCTATGTGAGGATGTAATGCAGTTTAAGTAATGCACTTTAAAAGTTGATTCAGACCCGTTTTCCTGAGTGTCTTATGTAAGCCCTAAGAGAGGCGATAACACTGAGATCCTGGGAGAAATACAAATGGTGTGCATTTTACATACAATGTCAGTGGGATGGGGGAGCACAGGAAAGAGTGTGGGATAGCAGGTGACTGTATGGATGTGAGTGGAGCACTCTCTTAGGAAAGGGAAGAAAAGCTAGATGCTGTAACTACATGAGCCTGACTTAAATCCTAGAACCTGTGATTTTTAGGACTCCAGCAACTTTTCTAAACTTGTAGTGTCCAGCAGTGGGATGTTCTGTCCTTCCTGAACTTCTTTCTCTCAAGCTTTCATACCACTGAGACAACTCCATGCACTAAATAGCTGTTGGGTGAAGGATGCTCTCCTTCAACATACTGGAAACCTTCCACATATAATCATTAGCAATAGTCAGGTCCTTAAAGGACTCTACAGGGTCCCTGACACTTCTTCATTTTCAGAAAATATGCTCTGCCTAGAGAAGGGATTTTGGCTTCAATCCATTACTTCTATTTTTTCATTTTTGTGGCTGATTGGTTTTGGCTTGGGACAGAATAAGATGTCAGTGTAGGAGGTTACAGGATTTGGGGATATAAGGTGCAAGGGGGAGTCACTGGAGTTCAAAGGTAAGGGCTGTAGTGTTGGTGTTAAAGGGTACAAGGAGGTGCCAGTGTTGTTTGGGATGTCAGTGTGGAGGCTTAAGCGTAAGAGCCAGCTTTGAAGATTAAGAGGGGAAGAGGGAGTCACTGAGATTTGGCGGTAGGAAGTCCCATTGGGTTTTGGTTGACG